GCGGCTGCCGAGGGCAGCAGGTGGGGCAGGACCTGTCCCAGGGACGAGCCAGGAGCTTGCTGGGCAGATTTCTCCAGAACGGTCAGACTGGCGGCGCTGCTGGCTAAAAGGCCGTTCAGGACGGCTTTAGGTTTCCTCCCTCTCCTTTTTCCTATGTAAATCGTTCCTTTCTTGCTGACGTTGATTTGCTGGCCTAGTTTTGAACCGAAGGTGGCAGCAAGAGTTGACACGGTGTTGTGGAGCTTGGATTGCATCTTCCCTTTGGTATTTGGTTCCACTGTACTGGACAGAATCTGATTCAGGAGTTTCTTTCGCTTCAGAGTTTTCATTTTATTTATTTTTCGAATAATTGTTTTCATTAACTGGCCATTATTTCTCTTGGCAACTTTTCTGTCTGAGTCTACTTCCAAATCACTCATGCTACAAATACTGGGGCTTTGGACTTCCTCTGGCCCTCGGAGCTGCTCCTTCCTCTCAAAGAACTCCCCGGGTCGGTGCTGTTCACTTTCAGGCCCCATCTTGCTCGAGTTCTCTGTTCCAACAAAAGGAGCCACAGACAGAATAGGCGGTTTCATTTTTATTGATGACCGGATCTGCCTTTTAGGTCTCCCCCTCTTTTTAGGAAAAGCTTGTCCTGATAAGCTTTGTTTTAGCGAGGGAATTTCAACTTCAGGCTGCAAAATCGGAGGTTCTTGCTCTTCTTTTGACTGCACTGAGAAGACTTTTGATGCTGGGATCTTAAGAGTTCTTTTGGGGGGACCTTCGAGTTCTGGCATTTCCTTGGATTTGGGTCTTCCTCTCTTGGGTTTGTAAATGTCAGGTAAGAAATCATCCGACATACACAGGCTGGAGGGCTGTTTGTGAGAGCTGTAGAACTTTGGAGTTTGTTTGTCAGTCTCAGCCAGCAGTGCCAGGGACTGTCCATTAGCTTCGTTCAGCTTTGGCAACTGATGTTTGACAAATTCATGCTCCACAAACGAGGATGATCCGATGTTTTTCAGGAATTTGGCCTGCTCCAAATTACTGCTCGATAGTGCACTGTATGAAATGTTTTTAAAAAGCTCGGACCTTTCCAGCTCCAGACCCTTCGGAGGTCGGCACGCGCTCCTCGACACCACCTTAGTCCATCGTGGCTTCCTCCCTTTCCTTTTCTTTAAAGGCTTTGATTGCTGAGTGCTGCTCAGGTTTTTTGCTCCTTGGCAGGATTTCTCAGATGCAGCTATTGCACCGATCTTGAGGAACTGCTTGCTCCCAAACAAGCTGGTAAAACTAACAACCGAAGGGGTGACAGCAGCGTGGATGCTTGTCTCAGCTGCCAAAATGGGCTTCTTCCCTGTGGGAGGACTTGTTCTCGAAGTTTCCACGTAAGACGCTTTTGAATCACTTAAATCCTTCTCAGCACCTTTAAAATCAGTGCTGAGGGTGTGGTTCAGTGTCCTGTTCAGGCCCAGCAGGGAGCTGTCTGAGGAGAAGGGCGTTTTGCCCATGGGGTCTGAAATGCCTTCCAGGAGCTCTGCCGTGGAGCTCAAGTGCAATGAGCTGGAGGCCAGCTGGGAGGAGGCTGTGGAGAGGTTCCTGCTGAGGGTGGGCACGGACACGGTGGGGGAAGGAGATGGGAGATTCCCCTCTCCCACCGCGCTGAACGGGGACTTGGCCGTCGACACCTCCGAGGCACCTCCTGTCCTGAAGTCTGGCGAAGTGCAATAAACCGGAGGCTGCTTCTCGTGCTTTGATGTTTCATAAATCCCTTTCTCACTGGATGAGTAGGCATCCTGTGGAACACACATTCCTTCACTGAACATCTCCTTGCCTACGTCAGCAATTTCTTTCCGAATTGAAAACTTGTCCAAGATGCTTTCTTTGCTCTGTCTCATAATGTGCTTCTCAAAGGTTTTGCTGGTTGTGTTTTCCTTCAGTAAATCCGCAGGCTCGTGGCTTTCAAGGCTGCTGAGGTTTGAATTGCAAGGAAGCTTAAAGGGCTCTGAGGAGGGCACGAGGGAATCTGCTTTCAGACTCGCAGAGTCCTTGGTAGCCAAACCAGCTGGGCTGCCAATCCCTGCTGGCTTCTTCCCACACTCCTTGCTCACCAATCCCACAGCACTGCTCATTCCTGGCACCTTCCTCCCAGGCTCCTTGCTCACCAGTCCCATGGGGCTGCCAATCCCCGGGGTCTTCCTCCCAGAGTCTTTGTTAACCAGGGCTGTGCTGTTCCCAGGGCCTGGCACCTTCCTTCCACAATCCTTGCTAAGCAGACCTGCGGGATTATTTATTCCCAACAACTTCTTGCCGGCATCCTTGTTCACCAACCCTGCTGGAGTGCTGATCCCTACTGGCTTCTTGAGAGGCTCCTTGCTGGGCAGGGCACTTGGAGTGCTGATCCCTGCAAGTTTCCTGCCCACATCTTTGCTGACCAACCCAACTGCAGAGCTGCTGCTCACAGGCTGCTTCTTTCCTGCATCCTTGTGGACTAACCCTGTTGGAGTGCTGATCCCTGGGGGCCTCTTCCCAGAGTCTTTGTTAACCAATCCAATCAAGGGGCTGATTGCTTGGGGCTTCTTGCCAGAGTCTTTGTTCACCAATATGGCAGCGCTGCCAATCCCCAATGGCTTCTTCCCTGAGTCCTTGTTCACCAAGCCAACAGCAATGCCAGAGCCCGGCAGCTTCTTCACCAAATCTCTGCCAACCAACCCACTGGCACTCACAGCTCCCGGCAGCTTCTTCCCAGAGTCTTTCACCAAACCAGATGGAGCTCCATTTCCACTCCCAGGCTTCTTCTGCTTGGTTTTGGAAGACTTGGAAGGAGGACAAGTTGCAATAAGCTGAGCCAATTTTTCTGTGACGGTTGTTGCTCCGTTAATTTCTGTTCTATCCTTTAAATCAGAGTTATGGCTACTGATCAGGGTCGGAGGAGATGATTTGATATAATCTGTCATTTCAGAATGCAATGGGGAAACTTTCTTAGATAAAGGGGTTGTTTCTACTTCGATACCTTCTTCCACGTGTAACTCAACTGGGGCAACTTCTCCAGCTTTCTTGTAAGACTTGGAAGGGTCCTAAAAGTTAATAAACAAAAAAAGTCTTTAGGGACAGGGTACAAAGTTTCACTTTGAGTAACACAGAATTTTTTAATGTTGATGTGATTAACACTTGCTCTGGTATCAGGGTTACTGCATAAACAGAGGCTTCATGATCCAATTAATTTCAAAACAAACAATAGTAATATCAGTAATTTAAATAATGGCATAATAAAATAAACACATTCAGCAAATAATAGTGATAATTCACATTGAAACCAAAATGTTTTAATGGTGGACACGCTGAGGCTTTGCTGATGTTAACAAAACCCAAACTCCCTCCCAGTCCGGAAATAAAAACCATTTAGTCTGTCCCCCGATTATTAAAAATATCCTCCAAAAATACTGTTGATGTTTATTAATAAAAGCTCACTACCAACAAAGTGCTGGGCTATTTATGGTGTGAGAGCACTTGAAGAGCTCACGTGGTGCTGGGCAGCAGCTGAGCAGTGCCCTGGCAGGGCAGGGCTGGCACTGCCACCCTGCCCCTGCTCCTCCCTGCCCAACTCTGACAACCAAAAATACAAACTAAATAAAAGAAGTCAAATTATTCCGTTTGCACAAAGGAAAAGGGGGTGATAATGTGCACAAATGGAATAACTGAAACTCAACACCTCACCAAACTTGAACTTTATTCTGGAAAGGTTAAAATCAAAACTGCAACACATCATAAATCTTACTGAGAGCACGTCAATAAATTCATATTTCATTTTGGAAGGACATTCTTTACACACATCTCTGCAGTGCAGGGGCTGGGGATGGAAGGAAATAATGATGACAATTAAATGATAATTCTGCCCACAGTTGTGATGTCCCCAGCATCAGAAGGACACGGGGCTGTTGGAGCAGGTCCAGAGGAAGCCGTGAAGTTGATGAAGGGACTGGAGCACTGGGATGGCTTCAAACTGACAGAGAGGAAATTTAGGTTGGATAAATGGGAGAAATTCCTCCCTGTGAGGGTGGGCAGGCCCTGGCACAGGTGCCCAGAGCAGCTGTGGCTGCCCATGGATCCCTGGCAGTGCCCAAGGCCAGGCTGGCACAGTGCACGGTGTCCCTGCCATGGCAGGGTGTGGAATAAGCTGGGCTTTAAGATCCCTCCCAGCCCAAAGTCACAATGAATGTGATTTCATTCCCAATTTGAAATCTCCTGGGACCTCCTAGAACAAACACAAAATATGGAGAGAAAGACACCAATGCCACAGCTCTGCATCCAGCATCTGATCCCATAAAAGCTGGTATGGCAATGGCACTTCCAGCACCTGATCCCAGATGGATGTTCTATGGGATGGAACAATCCATAGGATGGTTCCTATGGATGCTGAAGGAAGGGACAGCCTGGATTCCTCTGAACAGCAAATTTTGGTGCTGATCATGAAGGATTTGTTCACTGAGCTGCATTTAACAGGAATTTGCAGCCTGGATCCAGCTGGGCACTGCTGAGGGCAGAAGCAGCTGTGTGGGGAATGGGGGAGCCTCTGCACCCCAAATCCAGGGCACAGGGGGTTCTCTGTGCCCACCTCCAGGCCTGGCACTCACAGGAA